TGGTACCTATAAATATAATTTCTATTAGTGGTTACCTACCAGTGAACTCATACCTTTTAAATTAAGGAATGCAAAACTCTGTATTGTAGGAAAGAGTATCAACAGAAAGACTTCTCTTTCCTATGAGCCCTCTCATAACCCCTTGCCCAAGGTATAAACTGCAACAGTACTTCGGCACTGTGAGCTTGGCCTAGGTTGGGTAGCAGAGCTTAAAAGGGCAGGAAAACCAAGATGACGTGGCCCCTTGGAATTTCCGTAAACTAAAATGATCAGACAATATTTTTGAAACAGAATTTGTACATGAGGAAATATAAGCATGAAAATACATAATAAAATATTAGATATTTGGAGAAAATAATAATGGTGGTAATAATAGTAACAGCAGCTTTCATTTATTGTATCAATAAATGAAATACTTCATAGCTATTATTATACTCCATCTTTACCAAAATCCTACAAAGTATCTGTAAGATTATCATAATTATAGAGATTAGAAACCTGAGGCACAAAGAGGTTATGTAATTTGTCTAAGGTCACAGAGCACAACTCTTCAGAGGCTGTGATCTTAAATAAAATGCTTCACTAAGCAGTGTCATCAATCAGGGCAATAATTTGTAAGCACAGAAGAAAGCCCTATAACCATTAATTAATACCACCACCACCTACTTCAAGCTTCACCAGCTTGTATCAATTTCGGTTCTTTCCCCTCCTCGAACTCCAAACGCAATTAATCTAGTATATCTAATGATTCTTCCTCAATCTGATTATATTCAGCAAACACATACAGAGCATTCATTATATATAAAGCATTATACAGACAAAAACTTTTATATCAAAGTTTCTCAGAAGACTTCTGCATTCCCAAGAAAGAAATTGCAGGGGAAAGGAAATCAATTTTATTTATGTCCTTTACAAATATAAAAGAAGTAAAAGTATAGTATTAATAAGCATGATTGAATCAGAAAACAATTCTTATTCATTACACTTAGAATGCAGCACATTTGCAGATGTATTCATTCATTTAAGCTTGTTTGTTACAAATAAATCTAGTTGATAAATTCTGACATATATAAGATTAAAGCCAACACTTATAGAACACTCACTATGTACCAGACACTGATCTAAGCACTGCCCACTGTACATGTATCTCATTTAATTCTCACAACAACCTTGTAAAGTAATTATTATTATCCCCATTTCACAGATGAGTAAACTGAGGTACAGTAAATTTAAGTAACTGGACAAGAATCACACATGCTGTAAGTGGCAGAGCTGGGATTCATCCCAGGTAGTCTGGCCCCAGAGTATGTGCTCTTAATCACTGCCTCCTAAAGGGGGGGGGGGGGGGGGGGGGGAATCTGAAACTAGAATAAATCATTAACACTGTAGAAAATAAGAAAAATCATGATATTCTCTGGCCTTTATGCCTGGTTACAAAGGTCAAATATAGAAAACATTCATTTGTAGGAAAGAATAAAAAATAAGGGAGGGAGGGGACAAAGTCATTAATTAATTATACCTCTGCCCATGTCTAAATTATCTGAGATTAATCGCTCCTTTCAGTCTCTGGTGCTTTAAATTCAATCACCACTTTCACAAATTTCTGAAAATAGAAGCGCTATTCAATCATGATGATGCTTTTATCTGTTCACGTGTGTGTTTTTGTTCTGCACAGGTGGGGAGTAGGTCAACGGTGCTGTGGGTAGTTCTGATAACCGGAAACTCAACCAACCACCTGTACGCTATGAGGCTACTTTTCTGGTGGTTTTGGGAAAAACAGGGAAGACACACTAGAAAGAGCTCTGCTGTAGTGACTTTTCTTACTTCTGAAAATGGGCATAGGGTGAAACACTGAAAAGAAGTTTGTGGCCTCTTAGCCACACAATTCCAGTGGAACTCACTTATGCATCAAGGTTACTAGAGCAGAATGGTATCTTCATCAAAATTAAAGTCAGGACCTATTAGGCAAAAAGTATAAAGAGAAAAAATTCTCCTTGAAAAGTTGTTAAATAAATATTGATCTCAACCCTTCATGATTCTGTATAGCCAATTGTGTACACTAAAATGTATAGTAATACAGTATTAATAGAGTTCATATGCTAAATACTGCTTTACAGTACTGCAAAAAATTATTTTCTCCCTTATAGTTTTTTTTGAAAAGTTGTTAAATAAATATTGATCTCAACCTTCATGAATCTGTATAGCCAATCTTGTACACTAAAATGCATAGTAATACAGTATTAATAGAGTTCATATGCTAAATACTGCTTACAGTACTACAAAAAAATTATTCTTTCTCCCTTATAGTTTTTTTTTTGCGGTATGTGGGCCTCTCACTGCTGTGGCCTCTCCTGTTGCAAAGCACAGGCTCCAGACGCGCAGGCTCAGCGGCCATGGCTCACGGGCCCAGCCACTCAGCGGCATGTGGGATCTTCCCGGACCGGGGCACGAACCCGTGTCCCCTGCATCGGCCGGTGGACTCTCAACCACTGCACCACCAGGGAAGCCCCCCATTTTGCAGTTTTTAGATACCTTTTTATCACGACGTACCACAAAAAGTAAAATTAAAAATTTTTCTATCATTAATGTAAAATCAAATTATTTATTAAATGAGATTTTCCGTGATGGAAGTGTGTTATTTATACAATATAGTAAAGTCTAAATAAATGTCATTCACATAATTCCTACAAAGGCATCTGCAATTTCATTAAAGCTTAAACTGACTTAATTTTACTAACAATGTGTCAAAACTAGCTTTATTTATTTATTTATTTCTAAATTTTAAAAACTCACTGTATTAAAATACTAACGAGAATTAAGTACTTTGTTCAACTGAGATTCTTATTAACAAAATTGTATCCATCTATACTCATAATTATGAAAAACATGGTCAAGGTGGTAAAAGGTATTTAATAATAAAACTCAGAAAGTTGACAATCTTCCTATAAAGGAGTGCTGAGGACAGCTTCAAAGATAACCATAAATGTCTCTCCCTGATGAGAAGAGTTCAGGGGAGAAATAAATGGTTTGAAATTGTAAATAAAATATAACATCTTGACTAACACAGAATCATGACTAGGATAAAGGAAAAAAGTTATTGGAAGAGTAGATTTCACCGGGAACAAAAAGAAAGGAGGACAGTAAATCACTGTTCTATCAGATCACTCAGTAGCCAGGCAGGGAAAAAAATGTGTGTGAATATAGTGTGTGTGTGTGTGTGTGTGTGTGTGTGTGTGCGTGTGTGAATATAGTGTGTGTGTGTGTGTGTGTGTTCACGTGCGTATGGCTGTATGGGATATCTGGAGATTAATCTGGATTTTTATAATAGAAAACTACTATAAAATCAATTTAACTTTTCACTGTACATAACATACACTGAAAAAACAAATTAAGAATAAAAAACTGCATTTCACATTTGACCTATAGATCAAATAGCAAAAAGAAAAGCAAGATTTGCTTTGAAGTCCATCTCTAAAGGTAAACTTAATTTCAGGAACATGAAATATATAAATGTTTGGATACATTATTATGGTCTCTTCTCCTAAAATCCTATTCAGTACTCAAGTAGAAAAACACTGAAAGCTTGAAAGGGAAGTAAGGTACAAAGGCACCATTTAATGTATATTAAGAAATAACATGTTATCACACAGTAACTCAAGGCTCTGAAGGAAAATAATCCAGTATCAACTAGTATTGTCCTCTAAGATATAAAATCCCTACTTCAAAATCGAAACAGGAAACCTATCTTTCCTATTCACAATATTATTCAAAAAATAAAAAAATTTTAAAGGTGGAAGGAAATTTGGATATCAACCAGTTTACCCACAAGATAAAATATCACGTCCAAGATTAAGTAGCAAGTTCAAAGTAGTGTCAATAGTAGATCCTGTGATACCCAGGACAGTGCTGTTTACACTACAACTCAGCTTTCACAGCACTGATTTGAGAGAAGGAAACACTAAAACCCATGTTTAACAGTCTCTCTCTACAGTTTCCTGGATTCCACAGGACTATCCCAGTTCTTCTCCCAAGTATTTAAAATAAATTAAACATATTTACAGCCAAATATAATAGCAAAACCCATATTTTAGTAAGTATTTTCACTCAGCATTTTTCAATGCAAAACAGTGTAACCCATATGGAGACTATGAATTCCAATCACATTATTCAGGTTTTCTTCCACTTAAACCAATTTGCTTCTAGAGTTAAGTGCCCATAAATTTTATGCTTGTCTATTCTCTCTTGGTTAATTCTGAGAGAAATAAATAGTTCATTATTCATTCAAAGTATGACCTTTTGGAAAAGGTAGCTCTTAACCTCATCAATTTACTGCAGAATCTGGGGGCACAGCCTTTAATTTTATTCTCAATTCTTTGGTCTAATTTTCAGTCTCTCAGTCTCATTTTTTAAAGTTTTGGGGAATTTTTTTGTTCTTTTAATTTCTGTAAAAGGCTCTAAACTTTTAACCTTTCATTGTATAGCATGTTAGCTTGGTCCTATTTTCTCTTAACTGCCAACCAAGAAACGTCATCTGTTGTATCTGTTTTGATATGCTTCCAAGAGACAGGGCTATAGAATCCCTGATACAAATCGCTGATGACTACTATAGCAAGAACGTGAAAGGGGAGACTAGAAGCTGGTCCTCTGAGAGCTCTCAAGGCAAATAAACAATACAAGAAGAAAAATGACTATGTTTAGAGATTACTTAGTGAGGCATTCCAAGCTCTTCCAGCTTTAGTAAAGGGTATTACAAGCAGTTGAGGTGTAGAAATAACATCAAGAATATTTCTTTCATTGTAGGACATAAAATGAACTCCCATAGTATGACAGTTAAGGGAAAGAATTAAAGCTACTATGAAGGTACTGGGTATTCTAATATATTCCCATAAAATACATTAATCTTCACTTCTCTTAGGAAATAGAACTCACATATGAAAGAACTTACTTATTCTGCCAAATTATCTTTACAATTTTAATCAAGGGTTGATGAGCAAACTTACTCTAGATGAGTCATAGGAGGGGCTTGGTTGACCACTTGTTCCCCAAGATGTTGTACCTCCTCGTTCATCCATACCTAAGGAGAGAAGAAAGTAAACAATATAAATCCAAGAGGATACAATGATGGGTTTTGTTTGGTATAGCAGATAATACAATTCAGTGGGTGGTATCTGCATTTGATTGGAACTGGCTGTGTATCAATCCTTGCCTCCGAAACCTGCAGAAATAAGTTACTTGGGAGTATCTTTATCACTGCTCTATACAATGCCCTACATACATTGCCAATGTAGGTCTTTGGAGATTTTTGAACAGAGCATAATCTAGGTCTCTCCACCTGTCTCCACCCACTGCTACTTCTAAGAGTAGATGAATGCCCCACCCCCAACTTTCTAAAGTTTAGTACTGCCTCCATGAATATACGAAGTGAATAAGGGTTAGAGAAAATGAAGCAAGTCAAACAAGTGCTCAAGTTAATAAAACTGGTTTCTATCAAAGCACTGAGTAGCTATTCTTAACTGAAGACATCAAACTATATCAAACCATATCAAATCAACATTAATTATATCAAAACTAATCAAAATGATGTGACAACTCATCCTAATAAAATCTCCTCTAAAATCTGATTCTAAATGAGGAGATCTATTCTTAAGAAAATTGCAAAGGAAGACTCAATGTGACAAGGATAAATTACCATTAACAACAAAACAGCTCACTGTCCTCCTTAATGTACCTTCTGAAGCTTTGGCTCCATTATTTTCACCTTCCAATCAATCCCCAGAAAAATCTGAAAGGGTTGGAGATCTCTCAATCCAGCCATTTCTCCCTTTTCTGTTTTGAAGACCAGCCTTTCTCATCCTTGACTCCTAACAGGGTACACTTTCCCAACCCCTTCTGAGACTCTTTCTATGATGAAATACAAATGGTTGACTTCTTTTGTTTCATTTTTGCATGAGAAAACTCTAGATGTTACAAAAACAACATTCTGTTAAGTTTAGAACCTCTTTTTCTTCAAAAAAATTCCTTGAAGTCTTCTGTGATTTAGATGAGAAGTGGTCTGTACTAAGTTAAATGCTACAAATTCTCCAATAACTAGCCACGATTCCCAAGGCTCTTTCATAGGGACCGAATCGTCAACTGAAGGACTAGGTGACAAAAGCAAGGAAAGGAAGTCAGTACCCAAAGTAAAATACACTAATTACTAATTCAGTTAGTAGGACCCTAATTTATTCTTTTTATGAATCTGTACTTCCTATATCAAAAACAGTACAGAGAAAAGATGGGTACCTACTATAAACAACACACTAAGCACAATTTCAAATGAATCAGAAGCTTTAAAAACACACAGATTATATGTAAAAACAAAACAAAACAAAAACAACAACAAAAAAGTGTTTTTGTTTTGTTCATTCTTGGAGAATTCTTATTGAAATTCTAGATTTAAGAAAGATTCTACAAGTCTGGGGAGTATCATGTAAAAACACACTTTGTTACTAAATATTTCTCCAGTATCCAGTTACCTGTGGTCTATTTTTCAAGCATTTTCTTTGCAATCAACACTGTAGAATAGCAGATAGGATTCCAATGAGACCCAATCCAAGACAAAGACTACTATCAATCTACAAAATCCATTAATATAAAGCTACTTAAGAAACTGCAAATAATTTTAGTAAAAGTTTTATTTAAAAAGATCATACTTTCCATTTGTAACTTTTTTCCTAAATGAGTTATATTTTTAAAATATCATATATCCAAAGTAAAATGCAAAAGTAAATTGGCTCCTGAAAGCAGGGTCTCAAATATTTGCACACCCATGTTCACAGCAGCATTATTTACAATAGTCAAAATGTAGAAGTGACTTCAGTGTCCATTGACAAATGAATGGATAAACAAAATGTGGTATATACCTACAGTAGAATATTATTCAGTTTCAAAAAGGAAAGAAATTCTTACACATGCTACAACCTGAGGACATTATGTTAAGTGAAATAAGCTAACAAAAGGACAAATAGTATATGGTTCCACTTATATGAGGTACCTAGAGTAGACAAATCCATAAAAAGCAGAATGGTGGGCCTGGGGTTGGGGAGTAAACATAACTTTCATTGATTTAGAACATACAATGCAAACTTATCTTGATGATCCTATTTCTAATGAAAATAATTCATTTTATGACTCTGAATTGCCTTTTATCAAATAATTAATAAATACGGGGGCTATGTGTTATTTTAAATACATTTGTAAAAGAAAATAAATGGGTATCTGCTATAGAAAACATCTCAGACAAAATTTTAAGTGATAAAAGAAATTCTGTGAAAACACATACTTAATTCTTATCAAGTGACACTAATTACTTCCACAACATGAAAGAAGAGCAAAGATTAATTAAATAAAATTGTAATTAATTAAGCCACCAACTAAAGAGTACTACATACCAACGATACAAGACATGTAGAGGTTTCAAAGGATGCTATAGAATAACAAGGATCTGGCTAGGGTTTAAAAGAGCTCTACAGCTTTATTGTTAATGTATCTAGACTCTGAGCAGAAGATCGTGGCTGGCACTGACAAAGGCAAGAGTCATCCTTTAGCATCAACGACTCCTTTCTGCTCAACACAATGGCTGTACAAACATAGAATTATGACAGGAGTAATAAGCTTTCCAAAGCTTCAGCCACAAGACCAAGGTAACCAGGAAAAAAGAAATTACCCACAGAAAATAAACAATACAGAAATTATACAAATTGATCAAAATCTGAAAAACTATGTATCAACAAGAAAATATACCACAGTTGCAATACAGTAATTAGGAGGAAAACATTTCTATTAAGATATGTCTGAATCACCACTGCCATATATTTTTCTTTCCTTCCTATTTCTAGTCTACACATGCCAATTCAACAATTTTTGAGATGCCAGTGCCTCAACTTACAGATTAAAATGGTAGATGTTAACAGAAAGTTTAGGAATAATTAAGTAGCAGAAACACTTTTGAGTCTTGCTTAACTTTCTAATTAATCTATTCTATTTCTCTGCAACAAAATTAAAAGGGTTAACCAATAATTTAACTAATATAGAGATTTAAATGATACTTTTTTAATCTTTTATATACAGAATCTCTTAAGTACCTGCTTTTCTGAATGGAATCAATTAAAATCCAATATATGTTTTGATTCCATGTGCCTCATTTTAAAAGGCTTAATATTTTATTTAACATTTTTCAGTAAAGAACAAACATTAAATTTTAGACCGTATATCTAAAAACACTGGTTTGTGAATTCAATGGAACAATCTGCTTCCTTCTCTTGTGAAACATTTAATAGGAAAAGTAACTGAAAGCAAATCATAAATTACTACACATACAGGCACTTCCCTAAGAGGCTGGGAGCCTGAAGAAGGAATACAAGGTGTAACCAAGTTTTTGAGATGTCAGAGAGCAAGACTCTTGGAGGAGCAAGTAAACTTAGCCAAGTAAAATATCTAGCATTACTTTCTTTCCTATGAAGGACTCAGGTACTACTTTGCCTGCCTCCTCTCTACTGCCACCATCTTTTTTGACTGAAAGTGCTCTCTTTCTTGAATCAGTATAAAATTATCTCACAGCTTCTATCCTACTACTTCTTTCATTCTCCTAGCACAAAACCCTAGAGACTTCTCTAGGTTTTTAGCCATTAGCAAAAACTGGAAACTTTTTTTGGGGGTAGTGACTTTTCTATACCCTATACACCTGTTCCACACCACCCCCCGCCAATCTGGGCCCCCAGGGGCTCAAAAACAGTACAGGGTTTGTGTACATGAAGCATTATTCAAGCTTTGTTAGGCTCAGACAAGACCTACCTGGAGGTAAAAGGGGTGAATGAGGAGTAAAGCTGCTGACCAGCTCCTCTCCCACCTGCTACCACCAGACCTATCACCAAAGACTCTGTCACCCTAGACTACGAGGGTGAAGGGAGAAACACGTCTGGAATTGGAAAATATTTCAGGTACTGGTGGGGAGTCTAGAGAGCAGAGAAGTAATGAAAGGGAAAGCGGGGTGGGGGATACACAAAATCAAGAGAAGAGTAGTTAGGATATCCCTGCAGCAAAGCTATAAGAAAAACAAGTCAGGGCTTCCCTGGTAGTGCAGTGGTTGAGAATCCTCCTGCCAATGCAGGGGACACAGGTTCAAGCCCTGGTCCGGTAAGATCCCACATGCTGCGGAGCAACTAAGCCCGTGCGCCACAACTACTGAGCCTGCACTCTAGAGACCGCGAGCCACAACTACTAAGCCCGCGAGCCACAACTACTGAAGCCCGTGCGCCTACAGCCCGCACACAGCAACAAGAGAAGCCACTACAATGAGAAGCCTGTGCACCGCAATGAAGAGCAGCCCCCACTCGCCGCAACTAGAGAAAACCTGTGCACAGCAACGAAGACCCAATACAGCCAAAAATAAACTTAAAAAAAAAAAAGCTTTTCAGAAAAACAAGTCAATACAGCTACATTGCTTTGTATTATGCCCGAGAGTTATTCCTTGTGGAAAAGGGACATATATAAAGTTGGGAGGAACAGCACAGTGGATTGTATACCTCTCTTTCTCTCTGTCTCTTTCTCTCTTTCATGCACATACACACAGCTTTTCGTAGCAGTGAAATCAGGTTTTTATTCTAGCAAATAAAAGGTACTTCAAAAATATCAAATCCCAACACTGTTATAAATAAGGAAAAGATAATATACTTTGCAGGACTGCCATCTGCTATAGGATGATTCAATAGATGATTTGATAAAAGAAATCTGATTGGAGATAGCTATGTCAGATAACCAAAGCTATGGATGTATCTCTTCAGTAGTTTCTTCACTCAGTTTTATTTGTGGGGTAATGATATTCCTTTAGATCAGACTCAAAGGCTGCAATCAATTGTAAAATAACATACACCTAAAAACCCACCACCACCATTTTTTATTGTATTTCTCAAATTTTAGATACTTATGAAATAAACCTACCGATGTGTTTTTCCAGAAATTCACTGTGAAACAGAATCAATTAGAATATAAAAGCAAATCCTTTCTTTTTATGCTACACATTAACGAAAAACAAAA